AAGCTTATTTATTCATCAACGTTTGCAAACGACAGACAATGGAAGATGACGAGAGTTAGTCAGAGGACTCCCTTTGATTTACCTTTATCCATTATAAATTCTTTTACCGTAGAAATAGTTCAAATTGACATGACTACTGATATATGCATTAAAACTCTTCCTTGAAATGATTTTTGCTCCCTCCAGTGCAACAAAATTGACGTCATCTGGCTTTCATGACAGCCTGAAAGTTTCCTTGTCATTTAGCGACCTTAATGAAGTCACGTACTCAGAAAAAAATTCAATTACCATGTGAAAAACGTTTGCCAATTTGCATTAGCCGTTAATTTCTCAACTCAACACGTAAAAATGTTGCTTTTTTTTGCATTTTACCACATGTATACTGGCTTCAATATTCAAAATGTTTTTACAAGTTTTTTACTTTGTTTAGCTTTCTTACTATCAGAGATCGTAAAAGTTGCCGGTATTCCAGACGTTTCCGAACCTCATGGACTTAACAACAGACCTCCCATTTTTGAGTGCAATCAAGGCACCAAATTAGGGCCTATAGAGAAACTGCCGCCACGTATTTGCCGAACAAATCTCCCATTCGAACTATAGCCATTACTTGGGGCAATACTGGGATTTCCAAGAAAGGAATTGGAGGTTTAGGTAAATAACGGGGTGTTTATTATTTTAGGATGACTTTATTTTGTTTAAAGATCGTCGTATCTATGCCTGGAAGAAAGGAATTTTTAAAATACAGCCAAAAATAGATACAACGAATCAAAACGAGTCGAAAAATTTATTTGCTATAGACGGGTTCGTTGTAAAGGGCTTTATTTTATCGCTGAACCGACTCCTAGGAGCCATGAGGAAGGCAGAAAAATGGTATGACCACATTATTAATACCTGTCGGTAAAAAAATAGGTTTCTGTAGACACCTCCACGCTGTAAATTTTTTCTCAACTCTCCTATAAATTTCACCCAAAAATAAACCAAAACTCTCCCTTTTTTAACTGCCTTGACAACGATCCTCGGGCCCCATTGTAGCGGTCAAGTACACCCTCGTATTGAGCCAAAGGCCATTAAGGCCGCGAAAACGAACATTGGCCTCATTCCACGGTTTTATGAATTGTTGTCCGCGGAAACCAGTCCGCACCACTCCCCTCTTGCGTCAAATTTTTGTATCCCATGCCGTTTTTGATCTGTGAAACTTTTGTCATACGGCAATTGCCGGCATTATGTAATTATCAGACATTTCCTGCGGCCTTTTGGCCTCCGTTTCGCCATTTTTATCAAGCACAAAATTAAATATTTCATCGTCTTATGTAATTCTATATAATTTGGTGGGGATTTCTCGAGGTTTTTTTTTTGGGATGTTATTCGTGTGAATCGGGGGGAAAATGCCGCAAAATTTGCGTCCTCTAACTTTCGACTTTCACTTTGTACATGTCCGTGGAGGGGTCTGGAGGAGGCTCCACTCCATCTTTGTGTGCGAAGAGAAAGCAGAGTCTGAGAAAGTGAGGACGAAGTAAGGTCTGTTCTTTCTTTTGGCACAAAATTCGAAGCCCACTTTGAGCGGCATTTCATTCTGCAGCCGCCGATATTGTACTCTTCCCAGTTGTAGGATCCTCGTAGTTTCTTGTCGAAAATCTTTTTTTCTCTTGCTTTTTGTTGCTAAAAATTATCATTGAAAATCCTACGTGCTCTGTTATACAGGTAGAAGTTTTTTCTCGGCTCAAAGATCTTTTATAATCCCTGGAACGGCTATTTTTTCCGTATGATGGCTTTACAGTTTAGTCTAAAAAATGACGATTTTCGCAGTTTTCAATCACGTGTCCCTTCTCCACCGTGCCTCCGGGCTGTAGCGCTCCAACTCCTCCTCGTCTTCTCCACATCGTCTTCTCCGACCTCTCCCAAAACAAATGCCGGACTCTCGGGCGTAGGGCCCCACTGCGCCGGAACAGAAACAAAATGCTTTTGGCACGGCGCTTCCCGTCTTTTTCAGCACTTGGAAACTCGATGCTCCGAATCCCGAATTCAACGCCGCAAATTTTGCACTTAAGACGGCGGCCCGCCGAGAGCCTTAGGCTTCGGCCGAACGAAAAGAAAGAGCGGTCCGCTCTCCGTCCTCCCCCTCCTCATCCAACTGTCGGGCCTTTTATGGAAAAGAGGGGTGGAAAAGAAGTGGGGGGCGCCGCAGCGCGCTGAAGAGCCTCGGGGAGAGCGCCTTCTTCGTTCTTAGGGGCGCTCTTTCTTCGGCCCAAAACGGGGATGGGCCTCTAAATCCCCGCGCCGAAGGAGCAGGACGAAAATCTCGAGACATCGGAAGTGGTGCCGGTCAGTTGGCCTTCGTCCCCTAAGGGGAATTCGGCGGGCCGAGGGCCGAGATTTTCTCCGGCCGCTTTCCCGAAACGCCATGCTTGGCTGGAGAAGCGTGTCAAAGTTGTTGGGGGGAAAGACGCGGCCCCGTAACAAAGTTTTTCCTCCCATTTTCCCCAATATTTCCCAATTTTCGTCGACCGCTTTTTGCGGCCACATTGGACCCCACAATCTTTACGACTACAATATTTTCGTATTCTAGGCTTTTCGCCTCAGGTAACGACCCCAAATTCTGACTAATATCGGCGAAATCGTTGGCTAAAATTCCCATAAATTATTTTCCCACTTGCAATAGGTAATGCTACTCCCACGAGGGCGAAACTAATTAAAAATTTTACACTCCACTTTTTCATAAAAACTCGGTAATAGTTTAGGGCACGTAATTCGTGGAGAAAATTGGCCAAGTGGCCGGTGTTTGACGTCAATTTCGTTGTAAGGTTTTATGAAGCAAAAATTTCGTAAGTTAACGAGGAAGTACACCAAACTTTGATAGATTAATTTTGGCGAAATTTGGGGGAAATAAAATTCGGAGGTTTTCAAGGCATTTAGAAATATTTTTAGCTGGAATTTTGCAAGAGATCATCGAGGTTTTTGGGACTTAAATTGACCAAAGTTTAACAATCTTTAGCGGTTTAAGAGTCTGATGATTTAGGGTCTGGTTAAGGCGGCAAGGAAAAATATTTAACCAAAAAAATCGTATTTTTTGAAACGTATTTGAAAAATTGCAGTCGAAAACCTTTTTTTTCTTATATGTCACTCCTAATTTTCCCTGCTAACTAGCAAAAACAAGCCTTTGAATACCTTGACTGCTGATGCAATTTGCAAGCCAAAAAACGGAACTTCCAATACCATTTTCCTATCAAAAAATCTATTCTTTGCCGTGATTTTTTCTGCCACTTTTACTATGTAAATTAGCATTTATTTGGGCCAAGATTTCCCCGGTTGTATCTTCGCCACCCACCCAAAATCGCAACTACATTTCTTCGAGTATTTTGTATTAGCACTTATAGAATTATCTGCCGTCTTTTCGCCGGCGAAAGTCAATTGCAAGATTGTAATTTTGACTACAATACTTTGGCTCGACTCTCACGAGGATTTTGGCTTGCTTTTATCTGGTGGTATGTTTAGGCGATTATTCGCTTAATTGGATTGTTTTACAGCCGCTGGCGGGCCGGTTTTCTTCCATGGATTATGCTAAGCTAATCCATGAAGGTGGGGAGGAACTCGGCCCGTGCGAACACGCCCGAAAAGGCATTGTGGTGATTAGAAGGGAGGTTTCTTTCAAAGATCTTTGCTTTTTGAGGAATTTGAATCGAGCATAGGCTTGGACTTGCTTGAATTAAACAGTTTAGGCTCTGATTTAGGGTGTAGAAAATATTTTTTGTAATCTGATAGCTATTTTTGACAGAAAAGTATAAGAAATATGCTTTTTTTCCATAGTTTACTGCCTGATTTAACCTAAACTTTGAGAATTCTTCCCTTTTCTTCTGACAATTGGACAATAAAGGCTCAAGCTCAAAATCTACGTTCTCTACTCGGCTATTTCTACTTTTTAACCGTTTTCCCCATTGTCACCATTTCCGTAAAATCTTTGAATTTCAAAACTTTATATTGGAAGTCTGGAAATCTCCATGTTCCGTTTACAAAACGAGAAGTTTTCATATTTAGACCGATTTTTCAAAATATGACTTATGATTTTACAACCCTTCTAACATCCTCATTTTTGTAATGAATCTGCTAAGAGAATTTGATTTTACTGGCCATGTTTACACCTTATTTTCACTTTTTATCCACCGGTCAACATCCACAAATCATGCTGTTGTTGGTATTGGCCATGATATGTGCGTTGTTGGCTGCTGGAGAGTAAAGTAGACCTACAAACTGGACAGCTCGTAAGTTACGTTATTTATTTTTTATGGAGTAAAATCACACCCTGTACAACGAATTGCAAGGATTCAAAAAATTGATTTATTTGCTATAAGAGAGACTCGCTGTAAGTAAGTTTATTTTCTGGGATAATATTGATTGCTGAGACCCATAAAATTATTTGTAGTAGACCGATTTTGTTGTTCAGAGCTTCCAGTAAATCTCATGCCTCAACTTTTGGTCTCTGTACTGTCTCTATTTAACATTCTACGGCGCACTGTAAACTCCCCCTTGGTCTTTGATACCCATCAATTTTTTCGGGCTCCCTTGACAATACTAGTCCATTCGCAAAATCGTTGGAATGATTTTGGCCACAGGCACTGTGAGAAAATAAAGGTCCTCTTGTGCTGTGCAATTCCTAGCTTTTTGCACAGGAGAATTTGCTTTTTTTGATGTGTCCTGGCTTTTTTCACACAGTGCTACCGCAAAAAATCACTGCAGCGACTTTCAGAACGGACTAGTTCTGTTTATCAATTGCACTTTTGCGGAAGAGTTTGTTGAGGTCAGCGATTCATAATGGATTTATTTGGACATCAAGATGGACTGTTTTTTGCTACTGGAAAAGTTGCAGAATTCGGTAGGTTACAGAAATATAAATGTAGAGAAAGGAGAAAAGTCAAGGTAAATATGACGATGAGATCAGAAAAATAGATCCTGTGAATTCTTTGAATCAAATTATTTTCTCAAAGCCATTGATAAGTAAGATGACTTCAAATGTTGAACCCAGCGCGCCGGATCATTCGCACACTGGCACTCCATAAAGCGTCTTGAAGCTGTTTGTCTTCCGCCAGCTCTCGGCTTAGGTAAGATTTATCGTCCCAACAGGCTTCAAAGTAATGGCCACTCACCTAAAAATTCAATATAGAAACGGCGGTGAATCTAATTACTTTTCAAATATTAGATACCGTCATAAACTCACATGTTTCAAATCCGGATGAACCGCGCAATAAACACTTGTTGCTGCGCCCTGCTGGACTGTTGTGGTAAAGTTGGATGGAATGAGGTTGCTGGGAACTTTGGTCCTTCCAGTCCCCATTAGCCCTGTAAAAAACTGCTTTGATTTAAAAAAAAATATCTATCAAAGAGCTGATTATAACAATTTTAACACTTGCCAGTATTAAAAATAACTCCCGGATGAACTGCATTTACGTTCACTCCAGATTGATGGATCTCTCTGTGCAATTTAAAAGCAAACAAGATATTGCAAAGCTTGGATCCGCTGTATAATGACATTCCAGACGCTGAAGTGTCGGGTCTTGGAATGAGCTGCCTCAACTTTGTGTCCAACGAGCTTTTAGGGTCAATTCCAGTATGACGATGGAGGTTTGAGGAGACCACAACAACTCTCGATGGAGCCGAAGAAATTAGCCGATCTTTCAAAAGTAGGGTAAGATAGAAATGAGCTAGATGATTGACCCCGAAAGTTGTATTGAAGTCATCTTTAGTGACCTGTGCTGCCGGTGACATAACTCCTGCATTCAAAATCAGGGCGTGCAGAGGCCTAAGATACTTTTTTATATTTTATTTCACATAACATACCATCCTTTTCTTATAAACTTCTCGGCCGCTTCTTTTACTGACTGGAGAGACGCCAGATCGCAAGTTATCAAGTCGATCTTCCGATTCCTTGTTTGAGAATAAAGTTCGTCACGTAATCTCTCGGCCGCATCTCTGTTTCTGTTGAGCATTACAACATGGGCTCCATGATGAGCTAACGCTCGAGCTGTTTCGGTGCCAATCCCATTGGTTGTGCCGGTAATCAGAATAGTCTTGCCACTGAGGTCGAGCCCTTTGAGAACCTAAAATCTTGACTGCAAGGCATATAGGATATTTTCCTTACGTCTTCAGCAGTAGCTCGGGAATCGAACCGCCTTCTTCTGCTTGTAACAGAGCGATCTTTGCGAGATTCCATTTTTGAGCCACAAAAAAGCTTTCGAAATGACTAAAAACAAGGCCCTGTGCAAAACGAGCAAAACATCCTTCCTTTTATACTCGCAAAATTCTGCAGTACAATGCTGTGTGTCTTGTAGTTTGTGTGACCACAATATTGCACAGTTTCGTTTCTATGAGCCAAAAAAACAAATTTCAACATTTGTTTACAGGCTTTTATTTTTTTCAGAAGGTCAGAGAATATTCTACGTACAGTAGTTGACAGCGAATTGTCAATTTTTTTATTTCGTGTGTAACTTCACTCAGACTCAACAGAATTTGATGAGACCAAGAGCGTTTAAGAGGCTGGGAGACACGCTTCAACCTTATGAAATTGTTTTATTTCATATCGGCCACAGGCGTGGTAAAAATTTCAAAACAAATTTTTTTGGGGGACAACGAATTGTCAATTTTTACATTTTGAGGCATAAGATCTCAATAAACCAGCATATAAAGACTAGAATGGAGAGTAATCAGTTGCCAGCAATCATAGAACAGCATACAACTGGTTTCAGCCATTCGTATAATCTCCTTCGCTTTCTATAGGTCGGGCACTTGGGGGTGGACCATGTACAATATAATGTCAGCCTGGGGGCTTCCTAGGCCGAAATTATCTTATATTCCGATTTTTTATGGAAGATTATTCCATATATTTAACACACTTGCACCGGATTACAACTTGGAGGGGCTACGGGTCAAAAATTCGTCAGATAATATTATTTTTGGTCATCTAAACTCGGTGTTTCGCCAAAAAATCGATAATTTTTTTGCCGACAGGGGGCATAGGTTCATTTAATCCTCCTTTACGGCCAAACTAACGACATTCTACAAATTATTTCATTACCTGTCTCGACGCCCTGAAATTTCCGGGTGAGATTTTGACGGTCCAATTAATTCTTGTGCCACACTAGGGTGGTGAGTATATTGTAATGATCAAATAATGGACTTTTTGTAATGGTCGACTTTAGATAATATAGATAGGTTTATTAGAGAATAATTACAAGAGAATTACAAGAGCATTAAGAGAGTGGAAGCTTCCTCGAATGATTTCGAGGGTGGGCTCCCTGACCGGCTGGACACGCCCCCAGTAAACATACAACGCACCAGCACTAACTCCATCGACAGCATTTGGCCCCATTACTGGAACCAACACAACAAGAACGAACCAGACCCTAGAAGACAACATTGAAGAATATCCTACGGATAAAGTCGGAACGCAGAGACGCGTTCATCTCTTGGCCGTGATATTGTAATGATCAAATAATGGAAGCCGTGCGGAAACCACGTGAACACCGCCGCTACACTACGAATGGAGTGGTCAAAGGAGACCACGCCCAAGGAGGTCAAGATTAATGACCACGCGCATTACCTGCGTCAAACAATGAAGAAATAATGATCGATGGCTTCCGGATTGCGAAACCGGATGAGGACACAAAGTGACTCAGCAGAAACTGAGTTCATAAAAACCAAGTTTGGAATGTGTGCAACCCAAACTACAACAACCCAATCTACTATATAAGCCGCCCTCGAAATCATTCGAGGAAGCGCTTCCACTCTCTTAATGCTCTTGTAATTCTCTTGTAATTATTCTCTAATAAACCTATCTATATTATCTAAAGTCGACCATTACATATTGTACATGGTCCACCCCCAAGTGCCCGACCTATAGAAAGCGAAGGAGATTATACGAATGGCTGAAACCAGTTGTATGCTGTTCTATGATTGCTGGCAACTGATTACTCTCCATTCTAGTCTTTATATGCTGGTTTATTGAGATCTTATGCCTCAAAATGTAAAAATTGACAATTCGTTGTCCCCCAAAAAAATTTGTTTTAAAATTTTTACCACGCCTGTGGCCGATATGAAATAAAACAATTTCATAAGGTTAAAGCGTGTCTCCCAGCCTCTTAAACGCTCTTAGTCTCATAAAATTCTGTTGAGTCTGAGTGAAGTTACACACGAAATAAAAAAATTGACAATTCGTTGTCAACTACTGTATATGGATTTATGTATAACTTTCTAAAACTTCAGACTAGCCTCATTGATCATGTCAATACTCTTATTCCACAACGCATCTTGCAACTTCTCATCATTCGCCAGATGAGATAGCTTTGAGCGGTCGTCCCAACAGTCTTCAAAGTAGTGACCACTGACCTGCAATGCGGAAAAAATCTTGATATCGATAGGATTACTTGCCTTGTCCAAATCGGGATGAAAGCCGGCATAGACAGTGGTGGCGGCTCCTTGTTGGATTGTCTTGGCGAATCTACAAAGAGTTACGGCTTTCAGGGGGCTCACTGAAGCTCTAACACTTCGGACAAGGGCTGCAATTTTCTACATGCAATTATGATATATTCAGAGTCGTTAAAACGATTGTTTGGTTATTCAAAAAAGCAAACCAAAAGTCGAAAACTCAAGAAATTTTAAATTCTTAAAATGGCCATACTATCCACCGACCTGTCTCAATAAATCCTGGATGAACCGCATTCACATTCACCCCAATCTTGCTCAGTTCTCGATGTAATTTCAAAGCAAATAAAACGTTGCACAGCTTTGACCTACTGTACAAAGTAAGTGCCGTTTCTGTAGTGTCCGAAGACGGAATGAGAAGCTCTAACTTCTTGTCCACAGAAAGTTTTGGATCAATACGTGCTTGTCGATGAAGTTCCGACGACAACACAACTACCCTGGATGGCGGTGTAACTGTAAATTTGTCTTTGAGAAGGAGGGTTAGATAAAAATGAGCTAGATGGTTGACCGCGAAGGTTGCGTTGTAGCTATCTTTGGAAAGGCGCTCTGCAGGAGAGGCAACGGCAGCATTGAGGATTAGGACTTGGAGAAGCCTAATAAAGAGGTTAAGAAAAAATATATGGCCATTTACCATCCCTTCTTCACAAATCTATCGGCTGCAGTTTTCACTGATTTGAGTGATTCTAGATCACAGTTATCAAGTCGATTTTTCGATTTGGCGTTTCAGAATAGATCTCGTCGCGGACTTTCTGAGCATCTTCTTTGTTTCTGTTCAGCATCACAACATGAGCTCCATGAGTTGCCAAAACTCTGGCTGTTTCTTTGCCAATTCCAGTGGTCGTTCCGGTAATCAAAACTGTTTTGCCGCTGAGATCCATGCCTTTCAGAACCTGGATAAAATCTTTGTCAACGAGGTGATTTATCAATAATAAAGTGTATATGTAAAATACAAAGTTCTTTGTGGCTAAAAAAAACTTTCAAGTAAAGAATTGGCTGTCTGAAGGCCTTAGTTTTGCGTAAGGTCCTTAATTATTCCAAGATTTCACGGTAAAAATCTTTAAATTTACCTCTTCATCGGTGGCTTTGGGTCCAAATCGTCGTTCACGGCCTTTGGCAGTCACCATCTTCTCATGACACACCATATTTACTGCAACTAGAAAATACGGCTAGCCTCTACGAATTTTCAGTTTTGGATTTCTCACTGGATGGTCTTGTTTTCGTTTTGAGCCAAAGTGAACAAATTCTCATGTTGTTTGTGTCTCCCCAGGCTACGGATCTTCCAAAAAACTTCGGGTTTTCTACATACAAAATTTGGAAAAAGAATGTTGACAACATTATCTTTAATTTGCTTTCTATTAAAAAGTCAGAATACAGCAAGCTTCTAAAATTTGACTACAGACAAAAAACAGCTAAATAGTGATTAAGAATAAGACAAATTACGGCTTTTATAACATATTGATTCTTCAAATCAAAGCTGGAAATCCGATAAAATTGCGAAATATTCTTTTCCGGAAATTTTTGCCTTTTTTTGCGGGTCCTGAACAATAAGGCCAGCAAAAACAACGCTTTTTAGCGCCTTGAGATTCCTGTCCTCTTGTTTTGTTTACAGCCGGTAGCTTGCGCATAAGGCCAATCGGAATGAAAAAGCTCCGAATTTCCGATTGGAAACCGATTAGATAAAAATTTGTGCCATTTCTTACGCTATTTCGCAGGAAATTTGCGGTTTTTTCTTCCGGTGAAGTAAAACGCTGTAATCTTAAGTCAATTTCCCACCAATTCAAAGGGATTTTTTATTGCATTTTAGGTCTGTCAGTTTTGTCATCCTTCATTTAATAGTTGTTACTTCAAGTATAAATTGAGGCACTCGTAATGCAGAGCACACCTAAGAAATATCCTGTGGAGCGGATTCTGAAGCATAAAGAGATAAATGGCGTCAGATGGTACCTCATCAAGTGGGAGGGTTATCCCATTCATCGAAGTACTTGGGAAACTGAGGACTACCTGGATGTAAGGTGTTAATTGCAAATGCTTTTTCTACCAATTACTTTTTTCATTTTTTTTTCAAAAAAATATTTTCCTCGAATGCAAGAGTATATTATACACATGTTAAAAATTTTTCTTGTCTATTTTTTTTAATACTTCTCTTCAGGAATGTCGGGAGACGTTGATGGACTATCAGCTGAGATGGTTTGGGAAGACCCTTCTGCCCGCTAAGAAGAACATGAAGTATGGAACGTAAGTGGCTTTACTTGCAAAACCAAAGCATAGCTACAGACCAAAGCATAGCCTTCAATGAGTTATGTAATTCATCACGGCTAATTCTCCTTTCAGAGATCACTATGTGCTCTTCGCCGATGAAGACACGTTTACCCTTGACAGCGAAGAATCCCGCCCCTTGCCGGCGTTCACAAATCTGGAGACTCTTCTTAGTCCATCGGAGGAATCATCTGGTTTTGATTCAGACTCGGCACACACGAGTAAGAAGAAATCAAAAAGAAGATTCAAAAAGAAAAAGAGGGACACATATAAAAAGGATAAGAAAGATAAGTCCAAGCGAAAATTGACAAAGAAGAGTCTTTACCAGAGGAAAACGAGGAATCAAAGAGAACGGTTACGAGAAAAACAGGAAATGATGCCTAGTACAACATTAAAACCAGAGCTCTCCGAACTCGAAAATGAGGAGATTCCAGTGAAAAAGCTGAGGAAGAATAGGAAAAATGGATGTAAGAAGGTAGGAGATTTTTTTTTCAAAACTAAAGACAGACAAAATTAAATGCAGAAAAATCAAAATGACAGAAAAATATTGATTTTTCTGCATAAGCTCTCTCATCTACATAAATAGACTCAAAATGTAAATGTCCATTCACGTCTTCTGTTTTATGTTCTGGATTATGAATTCGTGTTTTGATCTACAGCGGGTTTAATTCTGTTTGCAAATTTCAGATTTACAAAAGCGCAACGAAGATTAAGATGGCTCCAATTGCATTTGTTGCTGCTGATGATGAGGAACAGATGGTGCCACAGGATCCGTTCCAAGGATCTCCAGATAACAGAAGAACAGCGGCTCATCGTCCTTTGGCTAGAGAGAGTTCGGACGAGAACGACGTGCCTTGCGACCCAGAAATGCCTAGGAATTCTCAACCGTCATCATCCAATGATCAAGTTGGAGACGTGAATGTTCATTTGGACAATAACCGTGTAAGTCGATAATTTCAATCTAAAAATTTTAAACGTGTTGAGTGTTTTGGCGTTTCCATAAGTCAAAATTTCCAAATTGTCAAAACCTTATTTCTTTTTGGGTTTGAAACCACTTAATTTCTTGATTTCAGCGCGATTTTCATCCAGAGCAAATGATGGCCGAAGCCCGGCAAAACGAGCAAGATATTCCTCTGATGGACCTTCCTGGAATTAGCAACATGTTGGAGGTATTGCAACAGATGAGAAGACGTATGGAGGAAGAAAACGATCTGATGTGGAGATACGATGGCTCAACTGTGTCGAGAGATGAGATCCGTGAGGCGATTCGAAGTGGCCGAGGAATCCGGCAATTCTTACCGCCGATGACTGATTAGTAAAGTTATTTGATCTACTGAATTTTACGCAAGGCCTTTTTACGTGTTTTTTACAATTTTTTTTACTCTAGCGTGCCATTCATTTATTTCAAGCATTCTTCTTACCTTGTATTTTTCGAAATAATATTTTCCAAACACTATGGTCGCCTCACTTGCTACTGAAAGTATAATATCATTTTTCTTTTTAAAATAAACTAACAAAATTGAAAAAATTTCAAATAAAATGCAAGCTAAAATTAGAATTGCAGAAAAATTCTATTACAAAAAATCAACCCGCGGGTTTCGTCAATAGGCTGTCTTCTTTCCAAACATGTTTTCACTCGGCAGAAAGCCGCATTGATTTTGCAGCCCACCTTGCGAAACACAAGAAACAAATGTATTTTTTCAGTTCGTATGGTCTCTTTTTTGTTTTAGCTGCACACTCTGTCGAATGGTCTCTGTTTTATAGTCTGTTACCTTTTCACACCTCTCAGACGGGTTAAACTTTGCGACCTTTTGCGTCATTATGGCAATTTGCGTTTTTATTTTTTGAGTCAGTAAAAATAAATCATTCATGCCTACAAAAATAAAATTTAAATATTGAGACCGGTTTGTTTTATCATCTCTACGCTTCTTTCCCATAGAGCGTCTTGTAGTTGTTCGTCGAGTGCCAAGTCTTTCGCCAAGTATGATAGATCGTCCCAACATCCTTCAAAGTAATGGCCGCTTACCTGAAAATAACGTATTATCTATATGTTATGCATCTTTACGAAATACTGATTTCTGACTTTTCGGCAACCAAAAAAATAAAAAAAAATTGCTTTTTTGGTTTCAAATTAAAAGCCTTACTTTATCCAGATCGGGATGGACAGCAACATAAACGCTGGTTGAAGCTCCCTGCTGGATTGTTTTGGTAAATCGATTGGTAATCAGTTTCTTGAATGCTGTCAAGAGGATGCCACCGTTTCTTTGGAGACCTAAAATTTGGAAAATAAGGTGAGTGTATTTTGCAAATATGGACTTACCAGTGTCAATCATGGCACCTGGGTGAACAGCATTTACATTCACTCCAAACTTGTTGATTTCCCTGTGCAATTTGAAAGCAAAAAGAACATTGCTCAGCTTGGACCTGGAGTACAATGTCATTGAAAACATGTCTGTGTCAGGAGTGGGATTCAGTAGTTCTAATTTCTTTTCCAATGGAAGTTTTGAGTCGATTCTGGTATAACGATGGAGGTCCGAAGCCAAAACAACGATTCTGGATGGAGCTGATGAGATTAGCCGGTCCTTGAGAAGAAGGGCAAAATAGAAATGAGCTAGATGATTAACTGCAAACGTTGAGTTAAAACCGTCCTTAGAAAGTGCCACAGGCGGTGACGCAACACCAGCGTTGAGTATTAGCACGTTTATTGGCCTAAAAAAATTTTATGACTGAACTCTGCCTTATCTTTAACATACCATCCTTTTTCAATAATTTCATCCGCTGCTTCCTTTACAGACTTCAGCGACATTAGATCACAAGTTATCAAGTCGATTTTTCGATGGTTAGTTTGAGCGTAAATTTGCTCGCGCAATTTCTCTGCGGCATCTCTGTTTCTGTTGACCATTACCAAATGAGCTCCATGAGTTGCTAAAGATCGAGCAGTCTCGGTCCCAATTCCACTGGTTGTTCCAGTAATAACGATCGTTTTATCGCTGAGATCAAGGCCTTTCAGTACCTGGAAGGTCAAAAATAGAGAATTTTGGGGTTATTTTTACTGCTAAGCTTTGAAAATTCGATTCTGAGCTCCGCAAAATCAAAAAAAAGAAGATATGTCGGCTTATGCCTGGAAAATTTGTAGCTTATCTTACCTCATCCGCAGTGGCCTTTGATCCAAATCTTCTTTCCCTGCCGTCCGCATGGACTTCCCTTTTACAAACCATGGTTTTTCCAAAAATAATGTAAGCAAGTCAGCTGCTACAAGAAATAAACAAAGCAGTCTCTTACTAACTGAGTAACATAACGATGAGCTCTCCTTTTTATACCTAGTGATCCTTATAATCGCAGAATTGTGTGTGTGCTTTGTAGTCTGTCACCGGTTAAACATCGCTTTCTTTTCTACGCACAACATTTTGGCGGGAAAGATGAATTGATGAATGTTTCCGTGTGCCCAGAGTCATACAATGGCACAAAACATAGTTAAATCTTTCTGTTTTTGTGAGCTTCAAGAGGCTCGATGTTGATGCAAATATACGTATATGTCTGAATACATATTTTTTACACCATATTTTAATTTTATTAATTTATTGAATAAGACTAGCTTTTAAAAAGTGATGTTACGGTATAAATACTACTTTACAATGTACACGTTAATGCTTGACGATTTTTATGGCCGTCCAACCGGACAGCAGATTCGATAGAACGAATCATGAGTGTAGAAGCACTCGGTGTTCTCGGGACATCGCGGTGGGTACCAAACTTCATTGTCAAGACCGCAAGCCACCGGCATATCATCTTGATCTCGGATGGCCATTTCTTTTGAGCAAAAGGTTAAGTCTGAAATGGGGTAAAATACGTCTCGGGCACACAAATGTGCTGGTTGAAAAAAATGACAAAAAGTGAGTATAACCTACACTTCTCTTTCTCTTGCCTCCGCTTCAGCTTCGGGGTTTGATAGAAGAATTTTGGGTCGTACAACGTCGTTGTTGTTGGTCCCTCAGAAATTGTTGTCTCTTCCGTAGCCGCCGTCGTGGGTTCAACCGTTGTTGGAGCATCACTTGTTGTGCTAGCTTCGGTAGTTTCATCTGCTTGCAATGTTGTAGGCACTGCTTCAATATTCGCTAATTTCTCCTCATTATTCTCATGATTTGGGTGCTTCAACACTTTCAATTCCTCAGCCACGGTCTCTGTTTCTTGTTTATTAACTTCTTCATGGATATGAGTGTTTTCCTCAACGTGTCCTGAAGGGATTGGATTGTTTTGAGGAGCTGAAATTTTGACTCCTTCAACGATAGCCTTCTCGTCCTCTACTTTCTCTGTTTTTTCGTTCATTGGGACCAAAACATCGTTATCAACAACTCTCATTGGAATCGGTCTTGGTCTTCTGATCTTTTTCACCTTCTTTTTGAATATTTTAGGCGTTGCAGTGATCACTTCTTCCTCTGCATCTTGCTGTTCAACCACTTCCAACATCTCTAAAAATCATTAAACGTTTCGTCGTATAAAATGTCCCCTTCACCAAATTAATAAGCAACGTTTAAAATTGATTTACTCGACATTTCCAGTGGTTTGTTGTTCTTTGGGGCAAACATTACACTTCCATCGTGCTCAGAATTGCTAGAGTGATCAACAGCCACCGGTAATGGCCGAACATAATCATTGTCGTGAAGCCGCTGACGTCTTTTTGTGGCTCCGGAATGCAGATAAGGCTTATCACTGATCTCCATGAATCCCGCAAGCTCCGCGTCAATGCCTAAAACAGCGAGAGGTTAGTAAATCCCAAAGCAAAAACGTTCAAAAGAGGGAAGAACGGAAAGATGCTCTTCTAACAATTGTAAGCAAGAAGCTAGGCGGGCGGACAGTGAAAGCAAACATGATTGAGTTGAATGACCTGTATACTTGCAAGATTTTAAAAGTTTTGATGTAAAGAATATTAACAAATATGATTTATTTAGAGAAAAAATAGAAAAAACAAAAGTGAAAGTGAAGAAAATGGTGTTCTTACGAGGTATATGCTCTTTAAATTTTTGTTAACAATGTCATGGTATAAAAACTTGCAAAACAGTTTTATAGATTTCTTTTTAAGAGGTCAGCGAGTCGCTCAATTACTACGAAAATCGAAGAGAATCTTCTAGTTGCTATAAAAAAGCTCACGTGGAACAGGCGAGCGACGAACTTCGGGATCAAAGGGAGTTCTTGGCCCCACTTGTTCGTCTTGCTTGTTCAAACTGAACCGACGAGATGGCTGTTCATCTTCCTGACTGGCAATAGTAAATCGATGACGTTGGCGAGGAGGAGCAAATCGTGAAGGAAGGGGAGCTGGGGCCTGAAATTTGAACGTCATATTAAACCAGAAATCGAGTTCCGGCGTATTTTAAAATTTTTGCTTACTATTTTAACCTATATGAAAATGAAATATAGCAAGGTAAAAATGCCATCGGAGATATTACAAAATGAATTGACAATTTTCAACGTATAAGATGTCCCCAATTTTTAATTGTGGCCTGCTCTTACCTCTGGGTTATCCCCAAAATCGAATGGGCTCGTTTCCGTTTCCTCATCGATATACAGATTCGATGATCTTCCCCCATGAACTCTTCCACTGTGTCTGCCTCTCTCCTGAGGCAGTCTTCGGCCATAATACCGATCCTGCCGCAGCCTCTCTTGCTCAATGTAAACTGGATCTTCAGCTACCAAGTAAGGAGATTCGGTAGTGCTGACTTTCACTCTAGGCTTGCGAGTTTTGAAAGTTGTAGTTGGTGGTTCTGTAGCGTCTTCTGCCTCTTGCACTTCTTCTTCAACGAATTTTGGAGTTGTTGGAGCGGTGGTTGTCGGCTTTGGCTTTTCAGCAACCGCGTCGTGGTCATGGACTGGTGGTTGAGGTCGAAGAGGGAGTTGCGGAATAGTTGCTGGCTCAGAGTTTGGAGGAGGCGATGGGAAGGCGTCAAAGTCGAATGAGGCCGGGGATGAGGATTCATCAACATTCTGAAAACAAAGGAACCGATTTTACGCCAAAATTCACATTAGTTTCGCAAGTTTTTTTTGCAATTGGCTTACCTTATTTTCTGACTGGACTTGTTCGTTAATGTCTTTGTTCTCAGCGACTTGTGGAGTTGCGGCCTCAACTTCCTTTTCTTTTACTTCCTCGGCCTTCTCTTTGGCCAATCGTTCAAAATGTTTTCGTTCCATCGCATCCATTCGCTCTCTAAAAGCAAAATCAGGAATACAATTGTTGCAATATGAACTTGTACAGCCTTTGGCCAAGACTTTATTGAGGTCTAAGGCAATACTTGACAAAAAATGGCTTTTTATTACCTTTACTTTCTCTGCCGATACTTCTACCTATTAGTAAGGACATACCTCAAATACTGCTCTGCTTGTCGCTGCTGTGCTTCACTTGGGATCTTTCCTTCGGCCATGGCTTTCTCAGCATCCATGATTCCCATCAACGACTTCATCAAGGAATCCGCTTCTTTTTTCTCTTCCTCTGTCATGTCATCGTTTACAACTTGTGCTTGCTTTGACTTGGGCCTTTCAATCTTCTTCGTCGTTTTGACACCTAGAGCTGCAAATTCTTGCGGCTTGGGGATTTCATCTCTAGCGTCATGTTCATGGGCTGGAATCTTTTTGGCTTCCTTCTCTGTTGGCTCAGGAGCTCCGGTAGCTTCTTCTTGGCCTTGTAGAGCCTCCGTAGTTTCTGGTTCATCGGGTTTAGAAGTCCCTACCTCTTCCACAGGCTTCATGGTTGCCTGAACAACTTCTGGAGTCTGTTGTCTTACAATATGGCCTTGATGGAAAGTTTTTAATGGCTCTTCTGTGGTTTCCGCACCTTCTTCAGCTTGCTGACTAGTTGTTTCAACCTTTTTGAACATCATTTTAGATAGTTTCACTACTTCAGTAACAACTTCAGCTTCTGTGCGAGCCTCCGTAGTCTCAGTGACTTCATGATCATCTGTAATCTTTGTCGTGGCATCAGCCTCTTTTTCAGCTGTAGTGGCTTCAGTTGAAGGCTCGGTAGCCTTCTCGGTAACCTTTTCTGTTGTCAGATCAGTTACCTCTTCCGTAACAGACTCGGTAGTGATTTCCTGAGTAGTAGTCTCAGCTGTTGTTGGCTGTTTGGTCGTTGCTGGAACCTTCATGGCTTTGTTTTTCTTCGGTTTGGTTGTAGTAGATGGCGCCTCGTCGTTGCCTCCATCCAGCAATTTCAAGTTTTGACTGCCGTGAATTGGCCGGAGAGGGCGAGAATTGTGTACGAAAGTTGTGTTTTCCTTGAGTTGACGGTCTGTTGGAGTGAGTAAGGTCTTGAGCATGTCAATGGGTTGACCCTCAGGTAGAGAAGAGTTCTCAGTGTGAGGAGCTGGCTCAGAAACCTAAAATAACATGAGATTGAGGTGACTCAAAGAGAATAACTTTCACATAGACCAAAGAACTTTTTTTTTATCATCAAACAACTTTAAAAATCGGCTTACCGGTTCTTCTTCCTTCTTTAATTCTACCTGCTTGATAACTTGTTGTTTCTGTTCATCGACTAAAATTTAAATAAGCGCGATATAGCGTATTTTAAAAAACAAAATTTTTATAGAAAAAGTTACCTTTATGAACAGTAGTAGCTTTTGCTGCCTCCGTCGTTGTCTCAATTTTTCTCGTTGTGATCAATTTGGTTGTTGTAATCTCGGCTGTACTTTGTGTCGGCTTTCTTGTCGTTGTTGACCTAGCTTCTTCCAAAATCTCAGCTAAAAATAACCAATCGTTATCCCAGCTTCATAAATGTTTGCCTTACATGCAGCTCTAGGGTTCAAGTCGCAAAATCTGACCAAAAGCGAGTTTCCCTCAACGGCAACGGCGTTGATCAGTTTGGCGTTCAGTCTAAAAATATTATAGTATTTTTAACTTCATTTTTATATCATTCTACTGCGCAAAAACGCTATGCAAAATTTCTTACTCAATTTCAGTTTTGACGTCAGGACCGTATGGCTTTCCAAATCGACGGTTTTCACAGTTAACTTCATCACGGGTCCTGAGCTTACAGCAGCCCAGTTGAATGCTGAAAAAGTAAGTTTTTGTGGTTGTTTTTGCACGTTGATTTAGTTCTAAGACTTTGTTTATGCTTTTAAGAGAGTTTTACAAAAATAGCGAAATGTCACAAAAATTATTGATTTTTTCGGAGGAGTTTGGAGCGGCAGAAATTTGATGAGAATACGATTATATGAAGATTTTGTACGATATATTTTTATTTTCTGCGATTTTAGACTTTTAGGAAATTTTTTAAGACAATTTTAAGATCTCTTCTGAACGTCACAAAAATTATTGCCTATCTGCTCCTCTTGTATTTTAAAAATGTTTTTTTGTCCTTCCTTAAACTCTAATTCGCATTACGTGTCCAGTCTGTTTTTGACTTACTTTGTCCCAAACAATCTCACGACACTGGCCAAGTACTCTCTGGGCCCACACGTGAAGTTGACAGCTTTGTCAATAATTGGATCAAATTGAGTGCTGTAATGACAATCTTCGTGTTCGAGATTCTCGAGAGTCTGGGGGATATCCGACCATGGGTAGAGCTGGAAATGACGTTTACAAATATAGACAACGGACAAATTACATATCAATAGTGGAATGGTGAAAAAAGTAAAATGCGGTTACTTGGGTTACTTTTCTTAAAAAATTTGATGTTTTTTCAGATTTTTAAAATTTTCACGAAATGTCACAAAAATTATTGATTTTTTAATTTTTATTTACATGTGATTCATGACGTGTTTTACACTTTTTTGATCCAAATTTTATGCACAAATATCGACGTACCTCATTAATATTGTTACAGCTCAACGAATACACAGCATCCTGTCGTTTCAGCCCCTGCGATTCGACCATCCGAATACTCAACCTCTGCGCACCCGAGCCCTGAGGGCATTCTATCCTGAAGTTGTCGAAGGGCGACGAAATCAACGCCGCTTTCACCTGTGCCGCCAACAGAAGCCCTATGGCTGCTATGAGAGCCATCTAAAAACAACCACAACTTTTTAACAGATGTTACAACCTTCGCGCGTATGACATTAAAGAAATGTTGAAAACAAAGTGAGGCGACAGCCGTAAAATGCTTCTTCCGCTTCCAAGAAAGTGACGCAGTTTTTTTGATCAACAATAAAAAGCCGTTTAACAAGGCAGCTTACTATATAACAGATTTTTGATGGGGATGATGGGAGATAAGCGCGTGCTGGAGATTAATGATTTGCTGTTTGTCGTTGAAATTTTCACTGTAGATAAAGTGGTCGGGAACTTGACGCAAAGAAAACGCATCATGCTGGTAGTCTAAACTAGCTGAAGGTGATTCAACGAAGCTGAGATATAGAAACGAATAAAACTTTGGACACTGGTCCGTTGGTAAAGTCGCTGTGATGATTTTGGGCGACTTGCACTGTGAAAGAAAAGCTAGTGTGCGAGCGACAGCCCAAATCATGCATAAAAGCCAAAAATTTCATATTGAAAAGTGCAAGTCCCCTAAATCGCCCCAGCGAGTTCGCAAGCGGACTAGTGTAAGCTGAAACAACTTTTTCTAGCATTCTTCTGATATGGGATTCAAATTTCCTAAAAATTTTGCATTGATGTTCGAAATTAGCCGCGCGCGAGCTCCTGTAAGTCTTAACGCCGCTGTCCGGAGGGAACTAAGTTATTCAAACAACTTTGTTTGCAAGAAAACATGCGGGATGAGGAGAGCCGGTCAAACAAAAAGCTTTGCAAATAAATAACAATTTATAATGCAGAAAACTTTGCTGTGCTGAGTACACCACATCTCTAATTATCGTAAAATTTATGAAGTTAAAATGGCAAAAAAGATTATGGTTTGCTACGGGTAAACATTCGACCTGCTTATTTATTACAATTTTGCCTACTCCATCTCATGAACTTTACTTGTTAGCAAAAAAGTGCAGCAAAATAAACCCTGACATTCTTAGCCAACAGCAACAGCTTCTCAATTATCATCACCCTGCTATTTCTGCTAAATGTTTACTCTTCACTACAAAACGCATCCGTAAAAAAAGCTTCCAGAAATGGCGGCTTACTGAGAGGATTGCCGCAGGTTGTTGCGCAACGACAAACAAAAATAAAAAAGTAAGAAATGAAGGAACCTGAGTCATCAACCACTAAAGTTTTCTAAAGTACTGAAACAATTGGGTAATTTGCACTGTTTTTGTCGACAAACAAATCAATTTGGAGCTGATTGAGAGCAGTTAACATAAATTGGGTAACAATTTGAGGGCACAATCACAACTTCGGATTTAAATACGTTTTTAGTTGGGTAGTAAATTTAAATTTCGATTTCTGTAAAAAAATGATTTTTTAGGAAGCGATATGAGCTAGCAGAAACCGAAGTTTGAAAAAAAATATGGCGATAGGAAGAAAAAAATGATGACATCGAGAAAGATCTTGTTAGAAGGTGGTTGGAAATTGAAAAGCAATGGCGTTAACGCTGTGCGCAAGCGTCGAGGATAGACATTCAAAAAAAGAGTAAGAACTAACTTCTATTGCTGACTTGGCAAGTTAAAATTAAACTTTGAAAATCAAAGATGGTATGTACCAACATGAAAAAAAATCGGCATAAATACGATTTTTTCAGGTCAAAATCCGTTGCCTTTCATTGAAGATTCAGACCTCAGGCAGCACCAAATTTCGTCAATAAGAACGAAATTACATTCAGAATGCCTCCTGCCAGTCTGTCGGGAAAATAAAGTGGCGCTTTGGAATCGTCAACCATTGCTTGGCGACGGCTAGCGGCAGCTCGAGACTCTGTACGCAATTGCGACAAGACAAGACATTTTGCTGCGATGGACCCACATTATTTTCCCGACGGACTAATAAGGGGAATTTTGAATCCTTTGTTTTCGGTTTGACGAAATTTAGCAACCCTCCGCGATCTGAATTTTCAAGGGAAGGCAAGGAATTTTTACATTGACCCGGTATGCTGTAATAACTACCCAAAAATTGTAAAAAAATTAGTCATCGTCCAGATCAGTCTCCATCTCTCCAACTCCCTTAAAATCCCCTCCATCAATGCCCACAAAAAAGCCGGGATTAATTAATTACCCAAGTAAAAAGCCCACGAAATTGAAACCTTTTTACTTTCGCCTGAACTGGCGCAGCGAGAATATAATCCCATTTTCCGGTTTCGGATCCTCGAGAAGGCTTCTTTCACTTTCTTTCAGCCATTAGATCCCGTCCACCTTAATTGTCCGCCGCCCGGTTTCTGGGTCAACCGTCGATTTACTTTCTTTCCTGGATGCGGCGAAGAATGTGGAAGAATGGGGGGCACACAGAAAGTTTATCAAGGCGGCGTTGCGGGCGTTATGAAGTGCGAGGAATGGTCGGACGGAAGGTGTTTTGTTTGATCGTTCGTTGGCATGCGTTTCTTGACGGAGGAAATGTTGGAAGGAAGCTTGGAAAAGGGTTGCGCAATCGACGGGATAACCGGATGCTGAGTGCGCAAAATTGGAACGATACAACGCAATGCTAGCAAGGCGAATTCTGGAATTGTGAAGGCTGTGTGTTACAAATGATTATAGCAGCCTGATGGGAAAATAATGAGCGCTCTGTCGCATTAAAAATTGCATAGCCGCTGAGAAAGTGAATTGTGTGGCAACAAAATAAAAATTGCTTTTCCCTTCAGTGACGCGATTGGCGCAGCGACATTACAGTCATTATTTTGCCGACAGGCTGATAGCAGTGCTAAAACGGCTTTCGGAAGAGTCGTTTTACATTGCTTCTCTTTATTTTGAATCTCTATTGACCACATAACAATTCCACAAAATTTTCGCTGGCGCTTTTCTGGGACACCAGAAGTCTTCCACAATCTTTGCCCACAAGAGCCTGCGAAACATGCAAATAGCTTTTTGTACCAACAAGTTTTGGTTTTTCCTGAAAAGCACAAGCTAACAAGGTCGAGGCGTCATAGAAAAAAGTGGTCTAACCATGGAAGTAGCCCAAGTGCGACCTTCAGATTTTCTTTAAATTTTACTCACATGCCAGACAAAAGGCCAGATATTAATTCTCAAAAGGTTTAGCTGGCTCGGGGCAGTTGCAGCTTCTTATCCTGCAAGTTTTACTCTTTAAATTCGTTGTATAGAGTATTTCATTAATTATGATGTTTAAACTCAAGGCACTTGCAATTAGATGTCTTTCAAAAAAAGCTTTTTACAAAACAATATGCAGTTTGAAAAGAATCCCAAAAAAGTTGTTTTTATTTTGTTTTTGTTTACAAACAACTTCAGTCATGTTTTTGAAACCCATAAATCTCCAGAGACTTTACAAAATTACTGCTTTTAAAACCACATGTTTTTTGCAATGGGAGTAGTATAATTGTTTTCTAAGAAGCTTTGCAAAGACGCTTTTTATTCTCATTGTTATTTGATTAATGTAGGCTTTGAACCTGCTAATCTAAATTAATGTAAAAAAAATTGTTTTTAGTATTTTTTGAGCTCGCAATTACATCATCTGCAGTCGTTATGTACCGTCTACAGCTTGGAAATTTTTTTTTACTTTTTTTGTTTTGTGTCTGCATATAAAATACCAAAGCACATACTAAAACAACCCTAAAAATCAAGCCGAATCCTCGAATATAAATTTGAATGATTTATTTTCTGCTTTTATCGCAAACAAAGAACAATAAAACACATGACAAATATCGAAATGAGTAGCCGTTTTATTCGTTGGGTTTGACAAAAAAATTGCTGAAAGACTTGTGGAACACCATAAAAATATACCCGAAATTGGACCATTATGATCAAGATGATTGGAAATTTTAGAAGATACTTCAATAATATCAAATTATCTGTAAGACAAAATTTAAAAAAGACCGATTTTTTGCTGAATTTTGGAATTTTCTGAAATTTTTCTGGACCAATTTTGTTTTGAATCCAAGGTGAAAATAGTGCATTATTTCGCAAAATGCCCGTGAAAATGGAGCTGAATGGGCTCTAAAAAAAGCTTAATTGCACGTTTGCACTTTCCAAAAATACTCGAATTTTCCGAAAATATCCAAAAACTAAATTCTGGCCAATTATGTGTAAACGTGCACCCAAGAAGATTTTTTTGCAGTTCAAATAGTCCGAAATTACCGTAGTTTTCGAAATAAAAAATTATGAAAATTTCAAAAAAATTTTGAAAAATCCCAAAAATCAGCAAAAAATTGGTAAGCTCGGAATGGAAGGAAGAGACTTTAAAAGTGTCAAAAATAATATCTAATATGATAAGATGCGAAAAAATCCTGATTATGCAGCGGAAATCCTTCGTTTTCCATCATCTAGTCAACTGAGCGGGAAGCACAAGCACAAGAAGGGGTTGCCGCCCGCTGTCAGCAAGTATTTTCCCTCGCGAATTGCCTGTGCCGGCAACTCGGAGTGCTCGGTTCGTGTTTGGCACATCAGAACGCGCAATTTCATGGACTCCGAGACCTTGAAATGCTGTTCTTTTCCGGTTTCCAGTGATCCCATGGAGGAGCGGCGTTCGCCGGTCGCCATGACATGATGGGTGCATTTAAATTTGCCACAGGCGCGTTTCAGGGCTTCTAGCGCTGGGGTCTGTTCATCAGAAGGGCCATGGAGTTGACTGACAAGGCATAGGAGGCGAGCTTGTCGGAGCTCTTCACGCCAGGTGAGGACGCCCAAAGTGATGATGGCCAGCTCGGTGGAGGGAAGATTGTGTTCCTGAAAGTTTAACAGTAAATCTATGTTCCCCATACAACATAATAATCCTTTAAATATCCCGTTTCACCCATTCTACAGTACGTTACGCGCAAAAAAATGAGCTTTTTGAGGTCAAAAACCTCATTTCAGCAATTTCCCCGCTCCCGCATGACTTTGTTTTCACCCATTTCCGTAATTGAGTACACCGGTTCCTAGCACCCACGAACACCGTTCAGCGAGCCCCGAAACTTGTCAAACCGAAAATACGGTAAATCCGATTGCTTTTGACCTCCTGCCCCATGAATAATAAAGGCCTCCCACTGGAATGCGGTTTGATGAATTTTTGAGCGACCCGGGCCGCTAAAAGTGATCTCATCGGGTCACAGAGCGCTCAAACATAATGGGAGAGGCCTTTGGAGGTAGCAAAGGTCAATTGGAATATTAAAACAGGCAAAGGTTCCCAATTGCGGACAAGTTTTTGATGTTTTTGATGCAGATAAGGTGGAAAACTTACTTTTAAGTGGGCTTTTGAGATTTTCAAGGTCTCAAACCATTCCAAGTTGGTGCGTGGGTCCAACTTGGCCAAATAAACTTCGAATCCACCGCCCATATAATCGGGCAGAGCAGATAATGACATAACAAAGTCATAGTAAGCAAATCCAGGTTGATTGGCTTCGAAGACCAGGTCCGATGGACTCAGTTGCAAAAGCCCGGCATTTTGGGCCAATTCCATCAACGATGGCCGGGAAGCGGCTACGGAAGCCGACCGAAGAGTCGCTGTCGTCATGAGGACAAATAAAAGCGAGGGTGTAAATCGGGAGTTTTAGTATCTGAAATTGGGAGGAAATTAAAGCCGTAAGTGCGGGAGGGTGGAGTGACGCGATGGGGGAGGGAAGTACGGAAAAATAGGGGGAGTGAAGATCGTTCGATATGATGGAAGAAGCTGTTTGCAATGAAAAAACAAAAACTTGCATCATTCGAGAAAAATACGGTACAAAATTTGGGTAAAAACACTTGAAGACTGAAAAATAATAATGAAAAAGCTGAATCAAGACACAGGAAATAACAAACTGAGCCCTGTATACCATATACTAGAAGCATGGCTCATATCTTCCACAAACAAAACCCGAGCCGACCCAAAAATGTCATCAACATCCCGCCGAACGCCCCTCTCCGCGCTCTGTTCGACCCAAACATACAAAAATACCCCGCCCCACGGAACGTGCCCTTTTTTCGGCCGCCACTCCGCCGAAACGGGCCCGCCTCCCACCCGCGAAAAAACAATAGAGACGAGAGAGAGAGGCCGGGGCGATTAGCCCCGACCCGCAACGTTCCCAGCCCCCCATGCAGGCCGCGAAACCTGCCAATTATGCAATGTTGGTCATGCAGAATGCATATGAGCGGTAAACATGGAAATATTTAACGAGAATGAGTGGGTATTTAAAATGTCGACGCACCTTTTTTCGAATTGTTTTTCGCGAGTTGAAATGCCGCAAAGGGCCTGGGGGAAAGTGCGGGTCAAATTGGGACTCAATTTCGGGTCGAATGACGGAGATGATGACGTAAATGAGCGATAAAACAAAGAAAATTGATAGGTATCTCAAATACAAGGAAGTGGGATGGTTATCACTGCACATACAGTGATTGGAATAACAAGTTAGGCCATCCGAAAAAAACAAAGGCTTTGACTCACAGAATTCGTTATTAATCCTACAATAGCTGCTCTAAAAATAAGATGAAAGTATTGTTACACCGGCTGCTGTACAAATGCCGGATTAACAGTCCCCTTTTTGGAAAAAACACGTCTTGGATAATACTCAAGTAGTCTATCTTCTAATCCAGAAATCTCTAAGCCAACTAGCATAGAACGTGCGTAATAGAACAAAGTATATATACTAAGGTTATTACGTGAAGAATTCCGAGATTCACACCTTTTTTCAGCAATATATAAAGTCCTTTGTCATCAAAAATCTTCTCAATTGCTTCTTAAGCCTAATCTGTCTCATAAAGACGTCAAATGTCAAAACTACCATATCAAAAATATTCTGGAAGACATCCAATTTCTAGACAGTAAAAATCCATCCCTGAAATCTGCATGCGCAACCCGAAACGGCGCAAAGAACACGCGGAGAACGTGCTCGGACCACACTTCCTCTCCCTCGCTGCCTCCAATTACACCTCATCAAACCGCGCGGCCCAATTAAAACGTCAAAATCTCGGCCGCAACGTCAGAGCAATTACGGTCCCGTGGCGTACAGTAAAACCGGCCGAATTGAGACGCAGTGTTTACAACGGAGTCTGGGAGAGGCAGAGAGTGTAAGTTGAGGTTGAGCCGGGTAAAGGGCACGCTCCCAGCGAGCAGATATTCGAAAACAAGACCGTCTATGAGCCAAAACTGCGCAAAACAGTACGGTAGACAATTGTAGGCGATGTTTTTGCAAGATGTTTGAGAAAAAACTAAATTTTTCTGATAATTAAAAACAATTTTTTAAAGGTATTTCCAAAAAAATCATAGAAAAAATCGTAACAAACATCTTGTCTCCACCAAGTTGCGTCTAAATTAGTAAAGTTACAACTTTCCCAACACTTTTTATACCTATTTTTCGACCCTATTACCGACTACATTTTTGACTCTGAGAAAGTGTAAAATGTAGGCTTTACGTAATAAAGAAATCGTAATTAAATAGTCACCCTTTCAAAAAGATTGTTAAAAACTTTTGACCCTATGGCCATTTTTCGTAGGCCAAACAGTAAAAAATTTAAAAAAAAAATTCCTTGTGGGCAGTCAATGTGAATATGATGTGAACGCCATAAAAGTCAAGTTTATGGGCCCTGGGAAACGTTTACTGTTCACATCATGTTGCCGAGAAATGTTGTTAGAGTTTAGGAGGTTAAAATGTAATTATATACAGTTTGTAATTACAATAAAAGTTAGATTATGACGGTAATTTAATACGTGATAAACCCCATGATTTATCCGAATCAGCGAAAGATGTAAATAAGATGATGTTATGGAAGAAATGATGATGCAAAAAAGTAATTATAAGCCCGATAAATGATACAAGAAAGAAAGGAAAAGGGAGCACTCCCTTTGTCCTCATGAATCACAATTGATCGAAGAAATGGCGAGAACTGATAAGAAAACGTGTCTCTAAAGCCGGTTGAAATGAAGCTATTGTCTAGACTGACCGTTGCTAACAAAAGGCTTTGCAAAACGTATTTCGAAATTTTGAAATTTTTTGACTTCAACATAATGTGAAAATTACAAAGAATCGAATTAAAAAACGGGCAAAATAAATATTGATATTCCAGAAAAAAGAAGCCTGCTATGTCTCTAGGAGTAATTTTTCTGAAAGAATTTCTTTTTTGTTGAAAATTCAAACTCAGCTGTTCGATAAATGTCATAACTTTTGCTCTCAAAAGAAATTTTTTGGTCTCTTCTGACCTAAAGGAACTAATATGGACTGAAAAAAAATAATTTGAAAATGTCATAAACGCTTCTTCAGAATTCTCCTAATATTATATTTATTTGCCCTCTCAGGTTTGCTCTAAAGATGCAACAAAATACCAACATGTCAACTAGACAAACTTTTCAGCTGGCCGTGTGACGAAAATGCAATCAAAATTACATGTGTAGTTAAATTAGGGCCTTGTGAATTCAATAAATAAACAAATTGTTATGTCGAGTAATTGCTAATCAAATTTGGAATAAATCAACGACATTTTGAGCCACATTAAATTTGGTTGTATGACGGGGAAGTCAGTGTATTTTTAGCCAACAGTAGGCTGATTATTTTACAATCTGTTCAGCTCTAAGCCAACCGGAAGGTTGTAAATTAAATATCGCTACCATCCTCTTATCATCAAAAACTCATAACAATCCACGTAAACTCCGACGTTTCTTGCAAGCCTACAATGACGATTCCAATAAAAATCTACGTCAACGTTGATCGCAATCGAATTCTAACCCCCTCAGCGCCCATATGAAAGGAGACCCCATTCAGAACTGCACCCAAATAGGGGCAAACCGTCCTCGGTTTGATTGAAAATACTTTGTGATATCTTCCGCTGCCCTCCCACCAAAGGAGCCTCAGGCGTTTTTATGGAAATCAGACTCCGCCTTCTCGTCGGACGAGGTTTGAAAATCTTTTTGAGACCTTTTTAGCGCATGCGACGTAACGAGCTACAGTATGAAATGGAGGAACTAAAAAAAAGTTGTATTGAATATTTCGGGAAGAAGACACAACTAAAATTAGCATAAGAGTGTTTGGCAGGGATGGAAATAGATGATATTGAGTGAGAAGCACTCTTGCGTATTTATATCCCGTCTATTAAAGGAATCCGGCGCTGATGGGACTCTAAGAGCGCTAAAATGTTCATTGAGTTTTAGGTACGTGAGAAAATATTCATCAATCAAATTTCTGCCTCACATACCGTACCGTCTTGCTGATTTGGCAGCACCGTGTTTTCTGATAAAAGCCGTCTATGAAAACAAGTTTTCCTCGATTACAGACCATTAAACCACTAAAACAACTTCCTCGAAAAGGCGTCCCAAATCCCTGTCTGCCTCATCCAACTAATTGAGCGAGAACCTCAAAACCGATTAAACGAAACAAATAATTTTTTATATTGCTTGGCCGGAAGGCTTCCACAACCTTGCTCAAATCAGATTAGAATGAGCTTTGACCATTCTGAGTATGCTTCGTCTGTCTACATTTTACGTCAATGGACTTTTAGAAAAAAGGGTTTTTTTAGACCGGTGGTTTAAATGTGTCTGCCAGTCAATAAGGATAAAATTGAGCATGTCGTAAAAGGTTAAAAAAAATGTCCTGAAGGGTGAATAGCAACGTGTATTTTGTGAGTTGGGATAACACTAGAAATTGTTGGAAGACTGTGACGAAACGATTTTTATCTTTCTGCCTATGAATACTGGCACAGAGTTCAAGAAATTATGGAGGCTGTGCTGCAAGAATTTCTTTCATTTTCCAGAACAAAAGTGGTCAAGTTTCGAAGCACAGACTAATAGGACCTAGCCTACGGGAGATAGAAGGCCGCTTGGATGAAACTTGGCATAGTTTTTGATTGAAACTTCATCCTATGCATTTTAGCGTTCCGAAATGTCGAGATATCGTTTAGATGAGACCAATTATCATTTAGAGTTGGTTACCACAGGAGTATAAGGAAAGGTCATCAAACCGTTTGTCGCTTTGCGTTTGGGGAAATTCATTTCTCTGACTGTCTGCAGTCACCCCTAACCTGTAATCTTATATCAGTGTTTCGGGAGAATAGTGAGTGCTCTGTCGCATCGGAAATCGCATCGCCGCCGGGAAAATGAACTGTGCCGCGACAAAATCAAGTAGCTTCTTAGTTGAGCGATGCGATTGCCGCAGCGACATTGTGCTCAGCATTTTCCCGACAGACTGATATGAACAAGGAGAAGGTCCAAGCCGTGAGCCTAACATTTATATAACATATTTGTAATGTCTGGCTGTGCCACTCTTTTGAAAATGATTTGATAATTTTCTAAGTTCATATACAAATAAATAAATTCAACGGACTTTGTCTATAAACACCAAGCCAGTTGAACATTGCCGACCTTTGTCTACGTCTACTCCGTCTACTCTATTATTCTGCTATTCTAAAACCAAACGCAAAAAAATATATTCCCAAAATACCACATTTGTTACAATTGGGTCAAACCTCACGACATTACGTATTCCATTTATTATTTTCATTCCTGTTTCGCCTCAAGAGATTCAGAAATAACTCAAGAGTTACTTTTCGTGT